GAATATACAGTTTAGTCAGATCTACCACACAACATTTTCCCCATGCCGTGTTTCGTCTTTCTCTGTTTTCCTCAGATCATGTAGCTTCTTTTTTTATTTCTTATCATGCAGCCTCTATTTGTTTCACTCACATCATGTAGCCTATTCCTCTCTATTCCTCTTTTCTCACATTTGAGTTCTGTTTCTACTTCAGACCTCACATAATTACGTACACATTTGACTAGGCTTGGTTTTTTGGAGTGATAAACAAAATTTAAGCACATTTTGATAATTTTTGGGGTGGATGTGTTGGAATTTCGCCAACCCGTTTCTTGACCACGAAAGAAGGGGTTCAAAAGGGTTTCAGCCTCATATTTCTTACAAAGGAGTTTTAGCGATATAACTTTATACATAAATTACACCTGTATCACATCATAAGATCGTTAAGTAGCAATAAGAAGCGGAAAGTATCGAGATCGGTATCCAGTGTGTAAAGTGATCATAACACAACTCTACATGGAAGCACTTCCGTTCCACAAGTGATGCTACAAGTGATCGTTGTTTGACCACTGGGGCGGAAGTCAAGTGGCGGTGGACTTGAAGGGTATCCGAAGTGCGCTTGGAGGGTGTAGGCCGCAGGGCGCGGTCGAGAGTCCAGAACGGGGGAGTCTGTTTGTAAACTGGACATCAACAAAATCGCGGTAAAGTGGTCAGCGAAGTGTTATCTTCAAACTTTCGATTCTGAATTCCACCAAGGAAACTGTAAATTCCAAGAGTAAAGAGAAATTGTTTTTGCGGTGTAGATTTTGAAGATCGAGGAGTCATGAAGTGTTACACTTGTTAATTGAGCCTAATGACATTTCATGGGATGTTATGGAAAATGTGTAAATCTCGAAAACGATAGATGCTTAACAATGTTTATTGAGAATTTGGTAAGAAATAGATCATTGTTGATTCTAAAATATAAAGGTGATTCATGAATCCAACATTTATGCCGAGACCGTAACGTTGTTTGAGGAAAATTAAAACTTAAGAATAAACTTGTGTTGAATTTAAAAATACAATAGAACGTATCAGGATGGGCATTTGTTTGCTGTTTTTAGGTTTTAGAAAATTTAGGTCATCTAATCTCGTAACTGAAATAAAACACATTGGTATGAAATAGGATGCTAATAACAATAGATTTTACACATACTAGTAAATACTGTACTCAAAGCTTAATATTTTAAGATAAACATAATGACACATTTACAAATATTTTAGTAGGCCAACAAACTATTTGTTCAGAAAGAGGAGCGTTTATTCACTAACGTAAGGAGACGATAGATTATGTCTTTGAAATGTTCCATTTTCATTTCGGATTCGTAAAGGAACCGAACACATTGAGAAACCAGAATGTGATTGTTTAAAATGTATTATTTTTGTTTCTTTTAAGACGACATAATTCAGAGAACCGGGGAATATTGTTGAAATTGTACAATAAACTATTATATCTACTATTCAACCATAACTAATCATCCTTCATTCATTTTGTACAAAATGTACATGGATCGTGTCATCAACAAGAATACCAACATAAAACTATATAATGAACCGTACAAGAGTCAGCGGATTTAGTCATTTTACAGTACAGTATAAGTATACTATATAAGTACTGTATACTATTGATTTATGCCTACTTCGGACTGGCGGTAGTCAATTTACCATTGTGGAAGACCTTATTTATGGTAGCAGAATAAAATTCGCCAAAGAAAAATCAGACGGAATCACTAAAATTATTTCTAGGATTGAATTCCTAACTTCAATTTTGTATTATTTTCATTTTCTTCTATTACTTTGTGATTCACTATGAATAGTTGTGCCGTAGCACGTTTACAATGATAAAACCAAAATCAAACAACTCAAATAAATAAAGGGATAAAATAAACAAATAAAGGGAAAATATTCTATATAAGTATCATAGAAGGGAAACTATGGAAGATAGAACCTTTGACTATTAATACAATACAATACAATACAACAACTAGACATTCCATCCCCATGTTAAAGTTGTAGCCAGGTTTTTAATAAAATTTGTCTTAGTTGATGTGAGCCACCTACAGATTGCGCTGATCTAAATTACTGATTTCTGCCGATTACATTATGGTTTTTACCAAGTCAAACTGATGGAATGACTTATTATGAGCTATAGCAACTGTTGTGACCCAGCAACTATGTCAGTAACGAAAAATAAGGTACAAAATAGAGTTTTAGACACTAGCACAATCTGTGACTGGCTCACACAACTACATTCTCTTTTAGTAAAAAATTGGCGACAGCTGATCCATATAGATGGGATGTCTTAATGATAGAACTAAAACTGCAATTCCATCGATAAAACAGCCAAAAAGGCAATAAAGTGAAACCAATCGTACCGAAACGTCTGGTATGCAAATTACATTATACAAACAAACTGCAGATCCACCAGACAAAGTTTAAAAAAATAGTTCCTAAATCTCATAACAAAGCTGGTGGAATGGAAACATTTGATAAAATATAGAAACAAACTGGATATTCAACGAATAACCAATCACAAAACAAAGTGAAACAAATCGTTCTCAAATTTCTTAACGGCGCTGAAATAAAAATTGAATAAACGTCCAGAAATCCGGGGCAAAGTGAAAAGCAAGTGGTTAAATCTCCCAGTCGTCAAATTGGCTGTGACCGCGGTTCTCGCCGATTCGAAAGACAAATCGATTTCAATTAATCGAGATTCGATGTTTTGTTATTCAATTTGAACAGTTCTCGATGCGATGCCATTTGCTCAAGCTAATTTTTGTTTGCTCCATCACGCTCTGATGGGAACGATTTGGAGGGAGAGTTGTGTTGGGGGAGCGGAATTGGAGGGAAACCGATCCTGTAAACGTTCTCTTTGTTTTGAGGGTTTGCATTGTTTTCATTGTAATACTAGAGTAATTAGAGACACATCTTTTGTATATTTGTAATATTTTTGTCTATTAAGTCAGATTTGAAATTGCTTTATTTGTATACAGATTATTCATTACTTTTCTCGTTATTTTGACGCGGCTTTTGTTTTGAACAACGAATGTTTTGTCAACTTTTCGCAGTGATGACGTGATATAATTGCTTCTTTGCTATAGAACATTTTCTACACCTCAGGTGGTATGATAAGTACCCACCTTCGTCGCATAATTTAGCAATGGAATATCACGATCCTAGAAATGAAAGTTATATTAGGTAAACTGATTCATAACTTAGCTAAGAACTTACAAAAATAGCATTTTTCCTGAGGGGTTACGTCATTTTATTTGACAATACCACATATAAAATAGATTACGGAATTGAAAAATAGGGAAATACCAGCTTCCGAAAACAAAACTATCGTGGCTCACCAAAAACTTTAAGTAGTTTAATAGTATTGCTATTTCAATTATTTGATCTTAAGTTATGTGTAAACGGATACAAAACTAAAAGAATTCAGATAATACACAAATTTGTATATGTTTTAAATGCCATTTTACACAGTACGGTGAATCTGGTTAGGAACATGTTTTGCCCAAATTATTAAAAGTTCCATGTTCTGATCTGTGTCTGACGATGTATTTTTGTCTTCGGCTTAGAGAACCGGTTATCAAATGATGCTTCAAAAGCATATAAAAAAATCCCAGTACAACAGAAAATTATGATTTGTCTGGATCTGTAATATGACCTCCTTCTTCAGGTGGGAATGGAATGAAAACACAATACACTGTTTATGTTACACATAAGTCCTGACAGCGTCGTCAAACAAAATAGCTATCAAACGATCTGACTATGGCTGTGATCTATGGTTAGTGGATAGTGCCGGATTCGCGTCTTTGTTTTGTTTTCCAATTTGTAATATTATTTGATTTTTTTAAGAATTTGACCACTCTAAATATTACTGCTTGTTTCAGCTATCGTATTCCTCAGTACTGATCGGTTAGTGCTCTAATCTCGAGGTAAGTTAAAGTTAGCTTATTTCCACTTGAAGACGGGTCAGATTCCAGATCTCTAAAGGTCTTTAAACGTTTGTTTACCGACAATTAAGGAAAACATCTACCATAACCCCTTCAAACATAAAAAATTGACTATTGGAATAGTCAGTTGTGCAACACTATTGGAATAGTCAAAGCACAAACCCAACACCAAAAATACACTTTGCTGCACTCGAGAAACATTCCGCACTTGCCTGCGGCTCGTGCGTAAACCTTGCTCTCGTGTGCAGCAAAGGCCTTTTTCACTCGTGTTACACATTATATTTTTCCTACAGTCACTATAAAGCATATAAATAATCAGTCTTTCAAACACTATACAACACGTTTTTAGGTTCAGCTGGCAACACAAATGGTGCCCTAGAGAAAGTAGTACCCGCGGTCCGTATCACTCCGCTATTTTTCCTCGGCAAGAAATGTGCTCCGCGTTTTGATAATATAGTTCCGTATGTTTTTATAATTTGAAGTGGTTTCCGCGCCTGAAAAAATGCTTTAAAGGTATTTTCTTGTTTATTAAGATCGTAGGAATGTCTTAAAAACGTTTAAAAGAAAAGTCCAGAAAGTTCAGAAATAACGAAACTATAAACACGAAATGACAGGTTAAATCGTAGTTATAATAGTCAATAACTATAATATATAATATAATATATATATAATATAATATATATATAATATAGTATATATAATATAATAGTCAATCAGCTGCTCATAGTATTATTATCTTTAAGTGTTGCCAACCTATTTCCAAGCGTACACTGATTACGTGCATAATAGAACCACGCTGTTTTGTGTTGTTTCGTTGGAATCCTGATGTGCGGCAAAGTATAAACCGTACGACAAAGTATAAACCGTACGGCAAAGTATAAATGCAGCAATTAGCAGCTTTCTGTACTATAAACAGTACAAGGAAGCCAACTTTGTCGGGTGACTGTAGGAAAATAATTATTTTACGACAAATCGTGTGGTTTATCGTGTAAACAATAAAGCTTCTGCTCGGAGTCAACTCACCACGTTTCAGTTTCTCCAGTGGTTCGTGGTGCAGCACGGTCGGTGGACACGAGACGGCCACGGGATGGTGGGGCTCGTGATGGTGAACGTGGTGATGATGGCCCAGCATGGAGCTCTCGTGATGGAGGCCGCTGTGATGGTGCAGGTCGTGGTTGGAGGAGGAGGAAGTGGCGACACCAGACACGAGGTCTTGCAGACACAGACCAGGGTCTGACATGGGCTCTAGTCTCTCCATCATGTTGCGGCTGTAGAAGTCACTGACTCATAACGCGACCTGCAAAAGGGTTGGTTTTGAAAATTACAAAAGTTTTTAGGAATTCGGTGAAAAAGGGGATGCTACGAAATTAAATGCAAAAACTTCTTATGCAAATTAGAAATCGCACAATTCCACTGGAAATTGGAATATCCGCTGTTTGGAAGAGACGTAGGAATAAACCACTCAATAATTGTCCCAACATTTTAACCAAAGACATCAGAAAAATTACTCCAAGTGGTAAAAAGGATTATAAGTTTGGCGAAGAATATTTTTACTCGGGCCATATAACTACAAAAGAAGGGCATTACGTACCTAGACAGTTTAGCTAGATGATGGTATCGATAGACATGTTGACCAGCTGATCCTACGTAAAGTTCCGCATCACAGTAAATAGAGGATGAGGTGTTTAACATGATATTTGATGTACATTTTACTTGTATCATGTGCCCAAATTGTTACTATGTTTACTTGTATAGTTGTAATTGTTGTGCATTTAACAAACGAGTCTGACACAGCCAACCAATTACAGAAAAAACATAACCAAATAAAAATTAAATTATGAAAATTCTCTTTTCATAATTCTGTCCGGATAACAAACGTTTTTAGTTCCATAAATCGTCTGCAAAATCATCGTTTTCGGGTAACTTCAAATAGGGAACAGAAAATGCTGTTTGCTAACCTCAAAATTTGTTTATGTTTATGACACAGTATAAATGTTGTTTACAATTTGAAACACACATGAAAATGCGGCTAATCACACGGTATGTCATGTTTGTACACGGCAGAAATGTCATTGATGACTACTTTGTATAACCTTAAATCATGTGGTCTAATTTTGTAACGAGTAGAAGGTTATTATTTTCACAGTATGATGAAAATGGTTGTTCATCAAACGGTGCTAATGTGTCTTTTTTTGTACTTAATCATATTTCCAAACTCGGCGGACTGTGTACTAAAAAGAGCCCTGTTCGCTCCTATTAATGAAATGTACTATTTTATTTTTACATCAACAGCTGTTATGAAGGCGAACAGAAAATACACGAATAGGGTATTGCACCATTGTTTAACCGCTAGTATGAACGAAATGTATCTGTATGAAGTATGGAGGGTTTGTTATTAAAAAAATAGCCTACTCTTCGACAACATGATCCTCAATGTTTTCTCAATTTTGTCTTATTCAGTAAAACTCGCCATTATATAATTTGAACTCGTTTATAAGATGATTCCAAAAATAGGATAGCACATAATTATAAAATATCGGGTATATATCTGTAACTATTATATCACAGATAAGGCTGTCGATAAAATAACACATAGTATTTAATACAAACTACGTTACTTTTTTCAAAAATAGGATCAAATATCTAAAATACTATCAAGTAGCTTATTTTAATTCACCGTAATATTACAGTGGCATATTTTTCAAGGGGTTACTGAAAGGCAAAACAAACTTAACACACCAAAAATAGTGGACCGATTTTACTCAACTTTGGTTTTATTATTTACCACGATTGTATGTAAGAACCAACTAACTTGTTACAAATTAACACCAATGTACCGATACTTTATTGATAGTTCATTAAATAGAATTTAAGCTTAGTTAATAATAAAATGGGTTCATTAATCACTGCTGTGTATCAGTTGTATAAATATATCGTAATTAAAGTGGTGAAAATATTTGCAAATATTCTCGCAACCTAAAATAGTTATATAATTAATATTTAGCGAATATTTGTCTGAACTCAACAGTTATTTATATGATGGATTGATGTAAATTCAACAAATTTTCTCTTAAGATATCCCCCCTTGTCCCCATATTTTGCTAGAAAATACTAGCCAACAGTATTGTAAAAGTCATAATTATTCGAAAAAGTAAATTTGACGGTAAAAATTTGCCCTTTGTTTTACCAAAAATGAATGACCCGATTTCGATTAAATTTGGTACAATTGTGTAAACCTAAGTTTATTAGAACAAGTTCTCGAACCAGCATTATCGGACTATGGGAACGGGAGTTTATTGGGAGTTTTATGGGGTAAAGATTGTGTTTTTCCATTTTTTGACTCTAGAAACACGAAATAACACAATTTCTTTTCAAACCAATTTGTAGAGCTTAAAAATAAATATATTGAAGCGTTGTTGTATGTTCAGGTTACGAAGATAATTCAGAAAAATTCATATTTAAAATGTTCATGTTATTCATATATAGTAGTATGTTTTCTGTGTTCTTATGGAGGATGCATAAACTTTTGTAGTTTGCTTGATTAATATTTCAATCTAATATGGCAATTTTTGTTTATTTCGTACTAAGCTTACAACGATTCAATAAAAACACATTACCTTTCCTGTAGCAGAAAACCTAAGAAGACATTAAAATTAATGTTAAATTTAACAATTTAACCAAAGAATATTTTAGTAGAAATCCACCCAGGTAAATGGAAATTTGCATAGTCTGCAGGTTTGCTGCGAAGGGGTATATTTTTTAATTCAGTGTGAATATGAATTTATTTGGAACAATAATACAACATCCTGTGTTTGGTTATTTTTCTTAGAGTGTACTAAAATAAACTATGACTATGAATAAACTATCGTTCTTTAAAACTGATTGAACATCACAATGCAGGCTTTGTTTTGTAGGTTTTCAATTAAATAATACAGAACAAGCAAAATAGCCTGGCTAAAACTAAAGCAAAAAAGTGTTTAACGTGTATTATTTAAAATATTATTTAAATGTTAAATTAGATTTACTTAAACATAACCTAAACGGACTACCTTGTATGTTTCTATGTATGCGTTGTAACTATTTTACATTATTATTGTTATACGAATCGCTTGTATAACAAGATGTTATACAAACTTTATAACAATAAATGTGTTAATTTATCACAACGTAATTGAAAATTGTGGTGTAACATATTAGACATATAAGCTGTTACTTTGTGAAAACGTTACCATCCGAACCCGTTGTGGCATATTTTGATCGGCAAGTTGTTACTTTATCACAACATTTTTGTTTCGAGTCCCATAGTAGCATTTTTAGTTTGACAAGTTGTTACTTTATCACAAAATTAGTCTAGTTCTAACGCGATTTCGAACGCGATGTAGCACGTTTGGATCGGTAATCTGTTACTTCTTAGAACGTTTCTATCCGAACCCGTTGTGGCATATTTTGATCGGCAAGTTGTTACTTTATCACAACATTTTTGTTTCGGGTCCCATAGTAGCATGTTTAGATCGGCAACTTGTTACATTATCACAACATTATTGCTACAATCGCAGCGTAGCACATTTGGATCTGTAAGCTGTTACTTCATTAGAACGTTTCTATCCGAACCCGTTGTGGCATATTTTGATCGGCAAGTTGTTACTTTATCACAACATTATTGTTACAATCGCAGCGTAGCACGTTTGGATCTGTAAGCGGTTACTTCATTAGAACGTTTCTATCCGAACCCGTTGTGGCATATTTTGATCGGCAAGTTGCTACTTTATCACAACATTACTGTTACAATCGCAGCGTAACACGTTTGGATCTGTAAGCTGTTACTTCATTAGAACGTTTCCATCCGAACCCGTTGTGGCACATTTTGATCGGCAAGTTGCTACTTTATCACAACATTACTGTTACAATCGCAGCGTAACACGTTTGGATCTGTAAGCTGTTACTTCATTAGAACGTTTCTATCCGAACCCGTTGTGGCACATTTTGATCGGCAAGTTGTTACTTTATCACAACATTATTGTTTCGAATCCCGTTGTACACAATGCAGTAGAACGCCAGCTAGTTCGTTGTCTACAATATAACAACAGATGTTATCTATGTTTGTTTGCATTGAACCGCCGCCGTCGCCGTACAAGACACAAACCAACTCTCTATATTGTACACTATGACTAACATTCACTTTTATTTTGTATGCTTTTCTGTTGTATTCCATCGCGAATATTTGCAAATCAATGACATTTTTTTAAAGTCTGGAATTCTTATAAATTTGTAAAATCTTAATTTAGTTCTAATGCGTGTTTCACAGTAACTTTTGAATAATATGATGTCGAATTAATGTTATATTTCTTACTTTGTAATTAATTTACAGTGTGCGCCTTTACTTTACGGTCACGATACCAGATTAAAAACCATAGTACATCAATATATAATACATCACGCTAAAATAGTTTTAAAAGTCGGGAAACAATAAATATACAGTAAACTCCAATATGCTTTCTATCCCAAACAGAAACAAACCTTAAAATTTTATTCAGCTGGTCCATAATGATAATCAATGAGATTTTCAATTCAGGTGCGCTTTTTGCATGTTACGTTTATGGTATACCACAAGATGGTAGTTCTGGCCCGATGCTGTTTCAGTACTCGAGGAGCAGTTACCTCCATAGCTTCTTAAAGGTTCTCTCTAATTTCCCGCATGATATTATAAATTAAAATCTATAATTACGTTTAATCCCTTCTTATTTCAATAACTTGTTTTCACAAAATATTATTATCTATTTATGAACAATTTCTATAATTAAATAATAATATCCAGATTACTATTTAGAATTCCAATGGTAAAAAAACGCTAATTGTATATATTGTTTATTTTTTACGCTTGTATTTTATATTAGTAATTAAATTTAAAAGCCTTTGTTTTGCGTAAATGATTAAGTTATAAATGTGTTACTAAATTTAAAAACACCATAGTCATATATATCATTATATTACACTACCTACTAATATTTTGACACACTGTAGTACAAGTTAAATTTAAATAAAATTAATGTTTTTTTTATCTCCCAATACTTGTTTGACGACCAAAACTTTTACATTGTTTAATAAATAACCTAATTAATTGGGGATTGAATTATCTATACCTACACTTTTTTACCCAATCCCCACACATATTAATCAAACATAGGCCTACCCTAAATATCAAAACTAGTTTGAAATAAATCTTAGAAATCTAAGAGAAAATACAGAATGTTGCCGTTGGTACATTTTTACTTTGACCTA